AGAAAATACACTGGTAAAACCATGCAGCACTCGTGCGATTAAGTGACCTAAACCGCCGAAGCAGGTAAGACTCAAGAGTGTCGCTTCTCCATATGGATAGGATGCAAATCCATGGCATCACTTTACGAGCACCAATTCATTCTCCTGGGTGGAGAAAGATACTCTAGGAGTGACGTGCCTTTCCCAAGAATGCAATAACCCACCCAGGGTTCCACTCAGTCCTTTCGATCCGCAGTTCAGTTCGCTAACCGTTGGGCCTAACGCCTTTCAAAGCATGAAACTGGATCGCATTATTATAATGGTAAATTTTACGCCAGTAATATAATTTCATTATGTATTAATTTATTATAATTAATCTACCGATTGAGTTAGTGGCGTAAAATCTTATAGTATATAGACTGTGTTAGTCACATAGTACACCGTTATATATATTCCCGGTCCTGAATCAAACAAAAAGTAAATTTAATTTACAAACAAAAAAATACATACATGTGATCATTTGCAATTAATTTTAAATTGAGACTGAGTACAAGCAACGAAATTACTGCAAGTCATATCTTTCCTGAGGCTCTGAGGTCACTCAGAAGCAATCTCTCCAATTATCAACATATAGGCCTGATTTGCAACAAATTCTCAGGAACAGCCAAAATTAATTTACTGCTAAATGTTAAGAGAATTAGTGTTCAAATCTTAGTGATAATTTTGGACTAAATTGGAGAAGGTAATTATACAGTGTATGCAAGGCTTAAAATGATTGATTCTGATCAAACATTTCAAACCAAGCAATGCTCTTTGTTCACAGCCATTTAAAACCTTCCACGAATAGTTTGGTCATGGACGAAGGTAAACTGAAAATTATAAATCAAAATTATACCACCGATGCGAATAATTAACAGTGCACACAGATCAGATAAAATCTTAAATATATTGTAGGCCAGGAAGGAAAAAAAACCACCCAATACTCTATTCAGAAAAAAATAAGCACATACCAAATTCCATCGATTTGCTTGCCTATGGATACAAGTGCAGAAAAAATAACTGATAGTTGGTGTGATGTCTGTACAGATTTCACCACCTTAACAAATGTATATGTGGATGTTAGACTAAGATGTAATAAGCTGGCTCGGTATCACATCTACATACTAAATAAACAGACCTGACGGCTATTTAAAATTCCTTGAATTTTAAAGCTTAGTAACTTTGGGCTTTTATTCCGAAGGATTATGTGTTTAACCGTCGCATCTTTACTGCGTCACAGTGTAAATACGAAACACAAAATTAAAAAAATTATTTCAGCTGGGATATTTCTCGCATATCAAAATAAGCAGGCTTCTATTGTTATCTAACTTACCAAGTATAAAAGGTGACAGCTGTCTTGCCATACCTCGAGAGAGGTCGTTAACGTACAATTTGACAGGAGATTTTGCCATCGATCTATGGATGCCGACGTGAACCATTCAAAATCATTCAAAACATTGAAGCTTGCTGAGCCAGACTGGGTACCAAAATCGGAAAGCTAATGGAGGACTGGAAACTAAAAGGTTGAGTTAAACAGTCACGACGTAACACCTTGTATGACGTTTCTGCAAAGGATTTCTGATTAGGTGGTACTTTACCAACCGGGGGATCGACAAAAGCGAAGACGATTAGAAACAAAACGGTGAGAGTTTCCATCGAGAGAAATGATGTTGTGTCGTAGATACCGCGGTATAAAGAGATCATTCCATGAAAAGTGCGCACGAACGATTTTTATGCACGAGTTGCGATGCATCAAAATAACGAAGGAATGACCGCAGCAAACGAGTGAGGTTTTTGATGCATCGCAACTCATGAATTTAAAATCTTTCGTGCGCATTTTCCATGGTATAATGTTTTCATTTCATACATACTGATATCTTTTCACATTTCAATTCAACGTAACGAAGGTACTTCACTCTGAAGATCACAGTATGTATAAAATAAAAAATCTTACGACTTATTTTAGACCCTTGGGATCCTTGGGGCCTCTGTACACAGCCTTGCTTGACATGACTTGTAACATGCTTTCGCTGCTGACGAAATACCTCCAACAAGCGTTTGCCATTCAATTTTTGGTTGCCTTAACGTTCCAAAGCAACAATGATTTGACACATTCGTAACGCAAGAGGGTTGTAGAGACTTGCTTAGCAAGCATTACTGACTCAGAAGGAGTAGAGCAGGCTCATTGCTTGAACAGGGGCTGGTAATCGAATTTGGTCCCAGCCTCGAGCTGTTTCATTTGAACTAATAACAATTTATAAGGTCGCTTCTCACGTAATACCTTTATGTAGCGGCGTTCGACTCACGATTTTCAAGAAGTGTGGAGGCTGGTCTCGACTTAAGTTCTATTTTATGGGCTCCCCTTTAAATAAAAGTCAGACATAAAACACACCTCTTTATTCCTTTAACATCTTATTGTTGTATAGCCGTTGAAGGCCGTAAACTGAGAACTCAAAAATATGAAGTATAAGCTAAGACTAACTAAGGTAAGTCATTGTCTCGTATGAAATGATTTAAATCGTGGTAATTTCTTGCGAATAACACAACACTCCGAAACTCACTAAATGCTGATAAAATCCTATACTAGTAAAAGATAACGCCCTTATTTTAGCCAAAAAGAACAAAACCTAACCGATCACCTGCAAGACAAAAACCTGGCTTTCAACAAAACTACTGAGCAAGGACTCATTTCTAAAATCATTTTGACGAAAGCGTGCGGTAATTTGCAAAGGAAAATACTCGAAAAACCAAAGCATATATATATATATATATATATATATCTGATTGAAAACTAAAGACAAAGGTTCTTCCCTAACATAACAATCATGCACTAGCCTCTTTTTGATCTTTGTCTTCTTTTTGTTGAGTGATGAATACGAAGGCGCGGAATTAAAAACAACTGAGTCAAACTAAATTGATTATGTGCCTTGAGAGCAGGATATCAAACAAGCTACTTGATTGTTCTGTTTAGAGTTAAAAAAAGGAAACCCACATGGCTATCCAAGGCCTTTCGGTAAACGCAGAGCTACAATAGATAGTCTAACGGTCAACTCTCTTTCCCTTTAAGAAAAATCTCTTACTTCCCCATCAACAGATTTGATCACACTCGAAATATTCCATTACAATAGTTTTCTTTAAGCTTGTCCATTGGCAAAATGTTCACCTCTGGGAACAGTTAAAATCCGCGGCAAAATATCGCGTTTTCTACTTAATGGCTTTGGTCGCAAAGTCTCGCCTCAAAGTACGTATAGCTTAATTTAGAAAAGCAACATGGAAATAGATTTCTACCTAGTATTTTTGATCTTAGGAAATATAGGATAGGCTTTTTTTTCCTTTTTTTCCTGATTAATCGACCTTAAAAAAGCCACAAATTTAAATATAACAAACAAATGTATAAACTATGGTGCGCAAGTGTCGAAAATATACCAAGTCGACCACCAACTATAGGCACGGGAAGTTATGTTGTTAATAAAATATCTCAAAAATATCTACTTATGGGCACAAATTATTGACCATTCAAACGTTCGATAATCTTTCCCTCCCAGCTGAGGGAGATGCAGAGGTAACCGCAGACGGAGTTCACCAGAGAGGGTTCCCTTTGATGCGGAGGCTGACTCTAAATAATAAAAAACCAGATTTGGTTTACCCATTAGGATTACAAGGGGGGCCCACTAAATAGCAATCCTGAGACGACTACCCGCTTTAGAACAATGCTGATAAATGATGTGATGTGTGCACACAATGATCTGATATCAGGGTCTGATCGATTAGGGTCTGATCGTTATCTATCCTCGGAGGGTTGTGTCACAATAAGACTCACTTTTCACCCACCCTCCCCCCTAGCCTATGTAACATTCTTATGACCAACCCCCTCCCCTCCTACAAAAGAATCTGATATCAGGGACTGATCATTATGTATTCCCTGGAGGATTGTGTCAAAATAAAACCCACTTGTCACCCACCCTACCCTATGTATCATTTTTATGACCCTACCCCCTCCCTTCATTTGCAGTTAATTGGCAGTAAGTCTTGCAGTCTCACACATATGCTCTGGTGGCGACGACTGATCCCCCCTCCGTTCCCCCTGAGAATCGTATGCTCCCCACCCCCCCACCCATGCGATGAATAATGAGTTGTGGTATAAACGGGTGGTGCAGGGAGGTCTTAGGCCTTCGAAGATGTAAATTTTTTTAGCGCCTATATTTTCCACGTCAAAAATTGTTAAAATCTCTCTACGTCTATCCGACTGTCTGAAGATGTCTGTTTATATGTAATAAACTCTTTGCTAACATGTCTTTCTATTTCATCAATATAAATGGTAATATCCCGATGCAGCATGCTAAAAAAGGAGTGATAATGATTTTGTCCTACCTTCCTTCTCTGAACATATTGTGTGTTGCAGACATGACGCCATCTAAAACAGACAAATTAAAATGAGTACTTTTTACTATAGACAGCAGGTGTTTCGTGTATTATCTAAGTTAAGTATTTGTATTTTGTAGAGGGTGGAAGCTGTTTTTATTCGAAGCCGAGAGGGGTGAACTTCTATTTTGGGTTCCCATTTTTCGAAGATGAATACATTTCCCTTTCCCTGAAAACTTCATAAATGTAATGATATGTTATTCTACGCAGGAGGTATCATACCTAGAGCCTCCTTCAGCATATTTCCATTGTGCTTCAAAGAACAGAGCTTTTCTTTTCTATTGTAGCTTTCCTCAATGTGCGAATTTTCAAACTCTGCCTCAGAGTTCGATGCCATCGTTTTCTTGAAGAGTTCTTTCGTGTTCTCATAGGCCTGTTTTTCCTTCACAAACTGTCCGATCTTCTCGAGGTCTCTGGTCTCCTTCTCATTAGCTTGCTCCTCTTGGATTAGCATGTCGATGTATTCGCCAAAGGCATCGTTGATAGGGATCATGGCGTTGTTTTTGAGAAAGATGACGAAAAAGCATGCACTTTCGTAGATGTATTCCTTTTCTTTCTCTAATTCATCAATTCGCTCTTTCAATAAACGAATGAACTCTTCCTTCTGGGACTTCATACCTTTTTTCTCCAAAATAATCTTCTGTGTTTCCTTTGATAAGAATACCTTCTGCTCGAGAGTAGTTTTGTAGGTGACATGCATGTGGAATTTGTAGCTGTGAGAACATTTACGGCAAAGACCTTTTTCCATTGCTTTACAATTACGAAGCGTCTCGTCGTTGATAGTCTCATAGGGCGCTCCTGAAAGGTGGCAATGATCATGGCAGATCTGATTGTAGACAGTGCGCTTCACACGATCTTCACCAACATTCACATACGTCTTACATCCTTCACCAGTACAGACAGTCCTGGGGTATTTTAGCTTTTCTAGCTTAAGATCAAACCCTTTGAAATTTAACTGAGCTCGAAATTTTTTGATGTCGCTGTCGTAAGCTTTGCACTTCTCTTTTTCGTTTTAATCGTCTTCAAGTTGAAATTAATTAGTTCGACAGCTTCCGCCATGGGTTTGGCTAAGGCCGCTGTGAATTCTCTAGCACTGTTTATGCTCAAAGTCTCCTTCGTCTCATAGGGCTTCATTTCCATCACTCTATCAAAGAGCTTGATCGTATTTTCGCACGACTTATCCCAACTCTTTTGATAGGCTTGAACCTTTTCCGATGTAAATTCAATTCCCTTCCTTTGGCAGGCAAGAAATCTGTTGATGACAAAGCGTTTCAACATACATAAATATGAACTAAGGTATGAATAGGTATCTTTATTTCGTATTGAGTAAAACCGTTGATAGCGTTAAAGGCGCCCTCTTATTGGCTACTCAAACTCCGGTTATTCTTTGCTACTCAACTCCGAGCAACGTGCGCAGGATTTGTGCCTTAAAATATTGTAATCGTTACAGTAATAAATTAGTCTAGGTCATATTTTTGTACTATATTATCTTACTGTTTTAGCATATTCTAAAATAACTGTCCACCTCAGTGTCGGTGGCTAGCGGAGGATATTTACCTCGCCGCTTCGCGACTTGGTTAAATAGCCTCTTCCACCCCGGTAAATAGTTATTAAATAATTTTTATCTACAGAAGAAAGAAAAAATTCAAAGGAGGAAAGGTGAACCACTTTTACGGTCGAAGATGTTAAAAGTGATGTACTATGGATGCGGTGCAAAATAGAAAAGGAGCACTAAAAAGTAACAAAATGGGCTTCTGACCTCACATTTTGTTTTCAACTGTAGTGTAATTGAATTATCTACCACACTTCAAATCAATCTTGGAGTATCAAAGGAAATGAATTTACGGCAAGAGCAATGTTGATCATTGGGTGGCGAAGCGAAGCAAACGTGACCGTTAAAAAACCCTTTCCTCTTAAGTTTCACATTTACTCAATTCTGTAACTTTACTTATTTCAAAGGCCATTGAAGTGCAATGAACTTAATACCCAGTTTTCTATGATATTTCTTACAATCGATACATTTCTTAACCAAGGGTTAAATAGATATCG